GTATAGGAATTTTGGGAGGGTTCTTCTGAGGCGACTTACCAGCTCCAGGTGGTCGGCGGCTTTCTCCTTGGTGTAACCGTAAGGATAGAGGAGAAGCTGGGAGTAGCTGTGGATGGAGACGAAAGCCTTGATGTTGCCATGTTGCCGTACAAAATCCACAATGGCTTTCACCTCCGGTTCGGACTCCGCGTAAGGTCCGCGGTAGGTTTCCGAGCACGGGTTCCCACTGGCGCCAGCTCCTGCAAAAGACCCACCAGAGGCCTCGATTTACAGCCCAAAATGTCTGTTACTGTGCGAGACAGTGCTTAAGTGTCAAAATTCGCTCCATTTTATGACCTTTCTTGCCACAGATGTTAAGCGAATCCCTGCAGTTGTTAGGTTAGTAACACCGTTGTTAGGCTTCTTCCCTCCCGTGGACTTTCCTTCCCAGAAGGTCGCAAAAGGGGATCACGTGACCCTGGGACACTGCAAACTGTCATAAATATGAGTCGAAATTTAGAGTCTGGATTTTGACCGCGGAGATGCAGCGGTATGAATAATGGTCATAAGTCCCTTTTTCCATTGCGGTAATAACTTTGAACAGTCACTAAATCAGGGGTAGGCAACCTTGGCTCTTTTATGACTCGTGGACTTCAACTCCCAGAATTCCTGTGCCAGCATGGCTCAGCTTGGAAACCTCTCCCTTTCCCCTCAGCATGGCTGGCTCAGGAATTCTGGGAGTTGAAGTCCACGAGTCATAAAAGGGCCACGTTTGAAGACCCCTACCCTAGGCCTAGAGTCTAGACCAGGGGTAAGGCAACCTTGGCTCGTTTATGACTCGTGGACTTCAACTCCCAGAATTCCTGAGCCAGCATGAGGGAACTATGGCCCCCTCATGACTTGCGGACTTCAACTCCCAGAATTCCTGAGCCAGCATGAGGGAACTATGGCCCCCTCATGACTTGCGGACTTCAAGTCCCAGAATTCCTGAGCCAGCATGAGGGAAACTTTGGCCCTTTCATGACTGGTGGACTTCAACTCCCAGAATTCCTCAGCCACCATGGCTCAGCTTGGAAACCTCTCCCTTTCCCCTCAGCATGGCTGGCTCAGGAATTCTGGGAATTGAAGTCCACGAGTCATAAAAGAGCCAAGGTTGCCTACCCATGCACTAAACGAATGGTTGTAAGTCAAGGACCACATGGCCCATGTCTGGAGACTTGAAGGTGGGACAGATCGTCCTCAACCTGCTGTACAACTGTCATGGCCCCGGAAATTTCCGTGATGATTGTAAATCGACACACCCATGTGCCCAATCCGATTTTGGAATATTTTTTGTGGCCCTCATTAAGCCAACATCACGGTTGTAAAGCCAGTCCAGTCTTTCCCGGGGGTGTTTTTTTAACCAGGAACTAGCCAACAACTCATTCTCACTAACCTCCTTTGAACCTGTTTTAATTTCTCTGAATTTGGCGTAACATTTTGATCCCAGATGTGGACGTGGGATTCACGGGGCGCTTCGACAAAGCATAACAGAACAGAAATTATTATTTCCTGGGATTTGGAAGTCCTATTTTGCCTAATGCAGCTTAAAGATATATTTTGCCTTTTTTTTTTGCGGCTAAATCACACTGCTGGCTTACACAGGCAGTCCTCAATTTATAACAGTCCATTTAGTGACCGTTTGAAGTTACAACGGCACCGAAGGAAGTGACTTACGGCCGTTTTTCACAGCAGCGTTCCCCACGGTCACAGGACCAAAATTCGGACGCTCGGCAACTGACTTGTACTTATGACAGTTTGCAGCGTCCCGGGGGTCAGCTGACCCCCTTTTTTGCGACCTTCCGACAAGCCAAGTCCATGGGGAAGCCGGATTCATTTAACGGCCAAGTGACTGACCTAACTGCAGTGATTCACTTCACAAATGTGGCCAGAAAGCTCGTAAAATGGGGCAAAATTCGCTTGACGACGGTCTGCAACCGTCATAAGTACATGCCAGTTGCCAAGAGTCTGAGTTTGGATCACGTGACCATGGGAATGCTGCAACAGTCGTAAGTGCGAAAGAATAGTCACCAGTCACTTTTTTTCGGGGCCGTTATAACTTCGAACGGGCACTAAGCAGAGCTGGTAAGTCAAGGACTACTTGTAGCATTTTTGAACCCTATCCTGGTTCCTGATTCTTGCACCTGACACTGGAGCTGTTCTGCCTGGTTTCAAACGGTCGTCTCCAACTTTGGAAAAAGGAAGTCCCCGAACATTTTACCTCCGAAGCCTGCCGCCCAATTCCGGTTGGGGTCGACTCCGATGCAGGATGACCCCTCTCTCTTCGACCTGGTCTTGCGCCACATACGGTTCTGCAAATCAAGAAGGCCCATCAACGAACGTCAGAAGGACCCTGACGCTAAAAACGCGGCGCGGTGCACCTCACCCTTTGCCACCGATGTCCCCACCACGGAGAGTTACCTTGGTGTGGGTGAAAAAGTAACCATCCGGGTTGGTGACGATCTCCACGAAGATATCGAGCTTGTTCAGGATGGACATGAGGGAAGGATCCTTCCCGTGATCTTCAAAGATCTAAAGAGGATCGGAACGGCTTCAGTTGCAACCACAGACGTGCCTTAATGGTGCTTTTATGGCAGCGGCCCCCAATCTTTGGGGCACCAGGGACCGGTTCCACGGAAAGAGGTTTTTCCCGTGGATCGGAGGGGACGTGGTTTCGCGTGTCGCCTGCATCCCGCGGATATGGTTTCGTTTGTTTGCGTGAACCGGTTCGTGTCATGCCACGGACCAGTGCTGGGCCACAGACCAGGGATTGGGGACCCTTGATTTATCGGATCACTATTACGGGACAGCCTTCATGAGCCAGCTTGTTTTAGGAGCTGAGGTAGAAAACAAATCTAGAAAATATCAGATTGGCAATGTCTTTTGATTTTTTCTTTTAGGATTAAGTGGGGGACAGGAGTGGAACGATCATGAAGTGGGGAGTGGGGCAGATATGCCAGGCATTTCCCCATTTTTCCTGGCTTTGGGGAAAATTACAGGAGTATCCCTAAGAAAAAAACAAGATTTCTGTGGCTAAGCAAGACCTTTATTGAATTTTGCTCCATTTTACGGCCTTCCTTGCCACGGTCATTAAACGAATCGCTGAAGCTGTTAAATTAGTAACACTGGCTTTCCGTTTGACTTTGCTAATCAGAAAGTCACCAGAGGTGATCACACGACCCCGGGACACTCATAAATACGAGTGTCTGAATTTTGATTCCAGGACTGCAGTGGTCGTAAATGTGAAAAATGGTCACAAATCAGTTTTTTCAGCACCGTTGCAACTTTGAGCGGTCACTAAATGAGCTGCTATAAGTCGAGGACTACCTGTAGTGCAATTGGAGCCACCGTCAAGCTGCCAAGGTTGAGAAACCCTGATCTAACCAAGATGATGGTTTAGCTTTCTCCGTTTACGGCAGTGGTTCTCAACCTTTTTAATGCCGTGACCCCAACCGGTCGTAAGTCGAGGACTACCCAACCGGTCATAAGTCGAGGACTTTCCCTGCCCGGGAGCGCCGTGCATGCGTGGTTCCGCCCCCTGCGCCGGCCGAGGCGTAGCTGGCAAGCGGCAGAGACGGAGCAGGCCGACCACCAGCTGGCCCAGCCCAAGGGAGGTAAGGCACCCACCAGAAAAGGGGGAAAAAATGGCGGACAAAAAAAATGGCGGACAGCCTTGCTTGGCGACCCCCGTGAAATGGTCGACCGACCCCAAATGGGGTCCCGACCCACAAGTTGAGAACCACTGGTTTACGGAATGTTTGCAGCTGTTACCTTGTTGGCAAACCAGATTCCGCTGGCTTGAGTGACCCACTCGCGAGAATGGATGCCGGTGTCAATCCAGATCGCTGGCCGGTTGGTTCCCCCGGTGCTAAACTGCAAAGCGAAGAACAAACAGAGGCCTTCAATCCGAGCAGCCATCTCGGCTTCCAAGTTCCTCAACATCTCTCCAGCTGGAGACCCACCAGATGTCCTGAGCAGCCACTCCCAGAATTCCCAGCTTCCAACCTTCTGCTTGGAATGCTGGGAATAGCACTGCAATCCGGTGGGAGGACACCGGATTGGGAAGGTTTAATCCAGGGGTAGGCAACCTTGGCTCTTTTATGACTCATGGACTTCAACTCCCAGAATTCCTGAGCCAGCCGTGCTGAGGGGAAAGGGAGAGGTTTCCAAGCTGAGCCAGGCTGGCTCAGGAATTCTGGGAGTTGAAGTCCATGAGTTATAAAGGGGGGCATAGTTTCCCCCCATGCTGGCTCAGGAATTCTGGGAGTTGAAGTCCACGAGTCATAAAGTGGCCTAGGCCTAGGCCAGAGGTAGGCAACCTTGGCTCTTTTATGACTCGTGGACTTCAACTCCCAGAATTCCTGGCTGGCTGGGCAGGGTTAGGCAACCTAGGGCTCTTTTATGACTTGTGGACTTCAACTCCCAGAATTCCTGAGCCAGCATGGGGGAACTATGGCCCCCTCATGACTGGTGGACTTCAACTCCCAGAATTCCTGAGCCAGCATGGCTCAGCTTGGAAACCTCTCCCTTTCCCCTCAGCATGGCTGGCTCAGGAATTCTGGGAGTTGAAGTCCACCAGTCATAAAAGAGCCAAGGTTGCCTAGCCCTGGTCTAATCTGACAACTAGAATTTCACCAGGCTATAGAAAAGCGAGCTAACATTCTAATTAAAAAAGTCACAAACCAGAACCTCGCTGACAGAATAAAGTACGGATAACCCTCAATTTATGACTACAGCGGGGAACAGAGTTTCCATTGCAAAGCAATGCGGTTGTTAAGTGAGTTGCGCCCTATTTTATGACTTTTTTTTTGCTAAGCAAATCACTGCAGTTGTTAAGTAAATCATGTAGCCCTTCAGCAAATATGGCTTGTCTTTGCTTGTCAGAAATCAGCTGGGAAGGTCAAGAAGCAGGAGGAGGAGGAAAACTCGAGATTTTTAATACTCTGAGCTTGGTGGGTTTCTTGCAGACGTTTCATGACCCAACTAGGGAACATCATCAGTGCTAGAAGGGAGTGGGGTTTGTGGAGAGGAGGAGGAGGAGGAGGAGGAAGAAGAAGAAGATTGTGGGCTCCATGCAGCTCTCTGAACTTGGTGGTTTTCTTGCAAACGTTTCACGACCTAACTAGGTAACATCATTGGTGCTTGAAGAGAATGATGTTGGTGGTGGTGGTG